CAGGCAAATGGACAAGCCGAGTCAATTAACAGAGCCATCCTACATGGAATAAAGACACGATTGAATAATACAAAAGGGGCTTGGGTCGAGGAACTTCCTCATGTTCTATGGGCTTATCGCACCACATCACACTCCTCGACGCTTGAAACGCCTTACAGCTTAGTCTACGGAATGGACGCCGTTCTTCCGGTCGAAATTGGTTTGCCGAGTCCTCGAGCAATTAACTTTGTCGAGGACACCAACAACGAGGATATCCGGACTAACCTCGACCTGCTCAAGGAGCGACTGGATGCCGTAAAAATCCGAGAAGCTAAGTACAAAGAGGTCCTCCGAAGAAACTTCAACAAGCGTGTTAAAAGCACCAACTTCGTAGTAGGGGACTTAGTCCTCAGGAAAAATGACGCCAGTCGAGCGGAGACCCCAGGAAAACTAACGGCCAACTGGGAAGGCCCGTATCGAGTCACCCAAGCCTCTCCTTCGGGTAGCTACCGATTGCAGACAACCGATGACACAGGGACTGTCCTCCCTCGGTGGTGGAATATTCAGAATCTCTGCAGGTTCTATAATTAGATTCCTTGCATATTGTGTGAGACTTTGTTTGCTAAGTGATTTCATTGCTTTCAGTCTTGTGTGTGTAATGCTAACCCGGGTCCTCGGGTAATTATCAATAAGAGTCATTACATACTTCATATATAAATTCATTACTCATCACATATATATTGTTTACACATGTCGACACTACCTCATGACTAGTCACCGAGATGGACACCCGTTACAGGGCCATCCTCGATATGATCCGGGTATTCAAACGACCGGATCCCTAAGCCGAGGACTCTCCCTCGCACCCGCCGTAGATCGCGGCATCCGCACTCCGAGGAATCCATATCCGATTCCTCGACAAAGTCGCGTAACTAACCGCCGGCTAAACAAAGCGCTACATAAATATTCTAGAATATCATTAATTGGTGCTAATACCGCTTAGCCCAACAACAATTCCTCGCACCAAGTGCAGGTTTAAAGAAAAAGAAAAGGGGGAGATATACAACGCATCCGCCTAAATCCGGAGGTCCTTCCCTTTCGGGTTAAAGCGAGAAGGCTTAATAAGTCCAGACCACCCCAACGACCTAAGCTTATGGACGCAATGCCCAAGCTTGTCCTTTAAGTCTAGAATCTCCCAGTCTTGATCATCGATTCTAAGAAGGTACTCCTCGGCAGCAGCCCGCTCCCGGGCTTCATCCTCCGGGTCAAGGTCGTCAAGGATGGGCAGAGAAATCTCGTTGTCCACCAATAAATTCTGAAAAATGGCAGCTTGTTTCGAGTAGAACTCCACTTCCTTGGATCTTTTCTTCAGAAGGTCGATAGCGGCAATAAAACGTTCAGTCCGAATCTTTATCTGCGACTCGACCAAAGCAAGTATGTCAAGCTTTTCGAGAAACCACGGAGAAACAATGATGTTCTCACGCTTCTTCAATCGGGCGTTCTCCGACTTTAGTTTCTCCATTTCCTCATAAATATTTGCTTCAAGGGATAAAGAAGCATGAAAGTCTAAGTCGTACTGTTGAAGTCGACGCTTCCACTCTTCCTCTTGTCGCTTAAAACGCTGTACCAAGCGATGATGTGTCCGCAGGTTCAGCGCTTTAACAACATCTGAGAGTTCTTTCTTGAGAAGCTTCACCTTGCTTGTATTGTGAACATCCCCAAACTTCCTCAAAATCGAGGAGATCATCGAGTATAAGGGAAACTGCGTAATTTCCTCTTCCTCGAGAATCAGTAGGTGACAATGATGAATGAAATACGAATCCTGGAACAGGTGACATAAATATTAAAAGTGAGCCAGCCTGATCGGCAAAAGAGTTCAACGATTCATACAAGTTTGTTAAGGTCTACAACCTTATCCATAAAAATCCTATTACAAAGAAGAGGGTCATACTTCCTTCGGGCCCTGAGATTGTGTCGGCTGGGCATCGCTGGTTTCCTCGACGGAAGGAGGGACTGGCGTTTCCTCTGGATCGGGACGGCTTTGTCCATCATCCTCAACAGGTCCCTCCGAGGAATCTTCTTCCCACTCCACCTCAACGCCGATGAAGTCGGGGGCTAACTCTGGAACACGCACCTCTTCCCCAGCATCATCGGGAAGCAATGTGAGGACCTCTCCCTTGAAGGACGAAATCTCCGTCGAGGATTTCATCTCTGGGACGGCGTTACACAGCGGCCCAGATAAGGGAAGTTGCCCGTCGGAAAGTCGCTGCACACCCTTTTTGAGAGCATCATGGAGTGTCTTCTTAGGATGCGGCTTTATAAATTGTTGTAGCCATCCGGCATTGATGGTCTTGCCGCTTTCCATCCTTTCAAGAGCAGCAACAGCTACGCCATGTCCCCCGAGAATCTTAGCCTCGTTGCTAATGCCCACCAGAATACTTGCCAGCCCATCCGTGGACATCATCCTCGACCAAAAGTGCATTATCCAGGCCGATAGTTCGGATCGGGGAACATGACTCTCCCTACACTCGGACAGTTTGGTTTCAAGCTCCTTATACATAGCCTGAATATCGGCCAGTTCCTGCTCTTTGGAAAGTCTCAAAGCCTCCTCCCTCTTTCTCGAAGCTTCACTCGACTGCTTCTCTTGTTCCAGGGCCCCTCTCTCAGCTTGCAGGCTCTGAATATCCCGTTTCAAGGTCTTCTCACGCATAAGAATGCTAGCCATCACCGTAGTCAGCTGCAACATGAGATGTTAACAAAAAGCAACATGGTATCCCCGAGGGATAAACGAATCGAGAAGAAAATACTACCAGTTTCAGCGACTCTTCCTCCGTCAGAGTCTCGGCGACCTCCTCGACGATGGGGCACTCGATCCTATTGTCCCCAAAATGGTATATGGCAGCGGCAGCTGTGAATGTCGAGGAACCGTCGGTGTCCTCGGTGCTCTTCTTGTCGAGAGTAACTTTAATAGGCTTGAACCACTCCGGGTGCCGCTCCGTCACCGGAATGACCTCGGGCACCTTGTCCTCAGGTACGGGAGCCTCCACCTCTTCAACGATTGGAGAGGTAGCCTTCGGCGGATCGTCTTCTTTGTCAACCTCGATCGGGACTGGATCCTCGACCTGCTTCTCTACCCCCTCGAGGATGGGAGTCTTCTTCTTCTTAGCCTTAGCACTTGCGTCGGATGCCTTCACCAATCTTCTCAGCTTCCTCTTTTTGGTGACCTTGTTGGAGGAGCCTTCGTCATCTGAATTTTTAATTTCAAAAATCTTGGCGTCACCAAACAACCCAATGGTATCTTTGCTGGAGGACATGACCTAAACACAAAAACAAAGCACATAGCAAGTCAGTACCTTTTCTCTCCTCAACGGGGATTGGGGGGACGTAATGTTGCACTGCTGTGTAGCCTAGGATGTCCTCGATAGATTCCAGGGAATCGATATCCGCCCTGTACTTCTCGACTCTGGCCTTATCATGTTTGGACCAGGCGTCCGCCACACCACCCATATCATGAGCTTCCCGATAATCCCAAGCCATACAAACATCGTCGGGAGCCGAAACAAAAAAGTAATTCGGTTTCCACAATGGGGCACCGTCGAAGAGTTCTATTATACGTTTTGCCTTGGAGGAAACGTTGGTCTTCACGTTATACCAGTCCTTATACTTGGTCGAGGGAACACAAACCTTAAAAAAGTATCTCCATACCAACAATCGAGGCTTTATTCTCTTTATTTGACACAGCTTCATAAAACCAAGGACGGCAGTGACTAGGTTTGGAGTAAATCGAGCAAGCGGGATCTTATAATACTGCACTAGCCTACCAAATAGAGGGTGAAGGGGGAACCGTAGGCCGAGAAACATCGACCTCTCATACACAGTGATTTTCCCCTCTGGTGGATTGTTAGCCCTCTCAGTGCCTAGGGGAGCTCGATAATCTAGATCTATGGGGAAGCTATATTTTTCGGCAATAGAATCGGCCTTTTCAATAGAGTCTATGGTCGACACAAAATCAGAAACTGTTTGTGATGCCATACCTATCCTAGTATATGCAAGTCTAACCAGGTTCAGAGGAAGTAAAATATATACACCAATGAACAACGATGAGAATATCCGAAAGTTAGAGGACTTACTTGTGAGATAGCGCTCCCTAGTTGAAGTCTGTCGGAAGGATTTTCAAACTTTGTTTGACGGCGGTATGTGGTGACAAAAAAAAAAAAAAAATCTGATGCACTGGAATAAGAGTGTGGAGTTTTCTGGGTTTGACGAGAGAAGAATATGGCTAAAGTCCTTAGCCTTTCCCCCAGTTAAACAAATATGAGGTCTTCTTTTTCCCCACGATCCGACACTGTGGCCGAAATCCAAGGCACACTCATAATGGCTTAGCCGTCGTTTGGGAAACGTGCGCGTTAGTGGGGCTTAATTTCCGCTCGGGTAGGATTTAAATGAAACGGGTCGCCTTCCCGGATCGGATCCTTACCCGCGGACAGCTATCCTTGGACTGGGCTGAAGCTTATTTGTTTCATATGGGCCGGGCCAGGTCAGTTTTATTTAGATGTCAAGTCTTATTTATTTTGCATAATTAACACTTGACAGGGGCACTTGACGAGTCCAGGTCCATCACCGTCAACGGGCCGGCCCACTACTCGGCCTTAGGGTCAAGATCGCTGATATGGCGGTCTATTGTTGATAACCCTAGTGGGAATCGGATTTCCCCCAAGCCTATAAATAGGGACCTTTATTCCACACAAAAGGTACGCCATCTTAACTACCATATCAACATACAAACAACCCTATTTTCTAATTTAAGCTTCGGAGTGTCTACCCTCGGGAGACGCCCGAGGCTCTGTTTTGCAGGAAACCCTAGCCGGAGTTCCACCCCATACCGGCGGTACAAATCCAGGTATCGTCAGATAAAAGAAAAATTATAATTTGAATCCATACTAATACAATAGATAAGAAAATGGAGGTAGTACTGAAAAAATGAAAAAAAAAAGTAAAAAAAAATTGGAATATATTTTTACCGCAAAGATGACATTGACAGCCATGAAGTAGTCGGATTCAACAATTACGGTGGCGGTTTCTATAGTGCCGAGTACGGCTGCCGTATTGTTTGCAAGAACAGCCGGCATATTCTCGGGGGCTCCGTACAAAGTAACGAATGGTTTACTTCTTGGGATCGTCACTTTCTCAAAATAGCTCCCGGGTCCGATATTAATCACGACCCGGTTCGTATTCCCTTCCGGTATGTTATCCACGGCCTCCGTCAACGTCCTGAAATCGCCACCTCCCGCGGCTCTCACGTTAATGATTGTCGGCGTTCCGCTTTCCGCCGTCACCAAGGCGGGGTCTAATCCTTTCCGGTAAGCAAAAGGCTGAACGTTTTGAGCAAACCAAGTTTCGACTTGGGCTAAATCGGCCGGCGCCGGTACATTGTCAGCAGCTACGACTATCAAAGGCATTATGATCAAGAGAATAAGGAAAGTCATGGCTTCCATTGAAACAGTTTTGGCCAATATTTTTTTTTTATATATATGCATGTGGCCAGTTAACTGTATAAATTCATCATTGTGGCATGGCAGATGGTACAATAATAGTGCTAAGTGAAGCTGCAGAGAGGGGAGAGGAGATAGATGAACGTCCTGAGAGATCTTTTTTGTGTAAACCCTAATGTTTTGTGGTTTCACGCTATGCTTTTTAGGTTAAACCAAATGAAATGGTGGGAACACAATATTTTTCTATATATACGTTACTACTATTTTTGCATTGATAATATTGTTGTCTACCAGTTGATTTTATTTTCCTTTGTTTTTTCTTGCGTAGTAAAAATAAAGTTAAATTTTACCTTCAGAATCACATTCAATCATGGAAAAGTTACTTTTGTATGAGTCATCTTTCCAATATTACCGCACTGGAAATAAATTAATATTTAAAATGAGATGGTATTGGTTGGTGATGAATAAATGAGGATAATTTTGTATTTTAAATACATTATTTATGTTTTATTAGTATTGATCAAATTACTATAAAGACATTTTAAAATTAAGGGAGTATCTTGGTAGCAACTAAATTGTAGGTAAGGATGGAGAACTCTCCTCGATTCCTTTATTTGAAAGACACAGTAAATTTTGAGTGATCGTTACCATAATTTTATATATATAGAGAGAGAGAGAGAGAGAGAGAGAGAGAGAGAGAGAGAGAGAGAGAGAGAGAGAGAGAGGGGCAAGATGAATCGTACAATCGTTACCTCAACAAGTTTTGGCCAGACACGTCCCAAACGCATGGCTCCTTCGTTCAATCGATACCATTACATATGGTGAAATTTTTAAAGTTTAGGAAAATAATCTTTTCGTACAAAATTCAATACTTTGATTTTTTATTTATTTATATTTTAATTCTTGTTTCTTTCCTCATATTACAGTTTCTTTTTTGTTTGTGGCATATATTTTACGTCTCAATAATAAAAGGAAATTCTCCTTTTAATTATAGGTGACTCAATTTTCCGCATCATGGGGAAGTCAGGCGGAGGCATTCTTAGCTTTGATTTCTGGCTTTATCCTTTTTAAAGGGACTGGAAAGTGAAATAGCTTTGGTTAATAATATTCTTTATTCTTTATTAGCATTGGTTTCCGATGATCATTCCCATCCGACCCCAACTATTTCCACTAAGGTTTGGATTGTTTGCTTTCTAGGTTTTCAATTTATAATTGTTGTCATAATCTGTATGCTCAAATTTGACTCTTGGTTACTGATTTTATTTCCTGTAATTTCTTTGAGTAAATTTCTTTAAAAGGAGTTTGTCTAAGGGCATCTCCAACCCAAAGCTCCTCTAAACTCTATATTTAGAGTTGAAACAGTAAAATCCCATTATTTTTACAGTTTAAACAGTGTCAGTATCTCCAAGCAATTCTCTCTATAAAATCCCTCTAAAAAGAATATTCTCAGTATATCCTATTATTTATTTATTTTTTGTAAAATAAATTTTATGATTTGTATTTTATTCTATTCTATTACTAAAATAAATTACATTTAAGAAATTTTATAATTTACGCATATGATCGTTAATTTAAATAATAATTAGTAATATTAATTATTAAATTTAAATTATATAATTTTTATGTAGTTAATTAATAGTATTTTTTTCACCATATACTATGTCAAATAAATAAAATTACAAATAGTAAAATAACAAAAACATTTGGCTCAATGATAATAATAAAACACATTACTAATATTACATTTAAATCAAAAAATACATAACAAATACAAGTCGAAAATATTGCAAACATTAATTTAACAACAACACACACATGAATATACAAATGCATATTTTGTGGAGAAAAAAAAAACATAACAACACTAATTATTACTATGAGAATATTGTTCTCACATATGCTCAACCAAAGTATCACGAAGTTCAAAGTGTGCCTTCCTGTTTCTGATTTTTCTGTGCCTTGCCAGAAACTGTTCAAAGCGGTCTCCCTCACAAGGTATTAGCGTAACATTTGAAGTAGGAAATTCCACATTATCTCTAATTAGTGCATTGCGATCACGTTCATCTTCGATAATCATGTTGTGCAGAATAATGCATGTTGTCATTATATCATGAAGCACTTCCTTTTGCCATAAACGAACGGGACCTGCAATAATAGCGAATCTCCTTTACAGAACTCCGAATGCACGCTCAACATCTTTTCTACATGCCTCTTGTCTCATTTTAAAATATTGTTGCATGGGATTAGTTGGTGTTGCAAATGACTGTACTATAGTAGCCCATTTGGAATATATACCATCAGCTAAATAGTAACCCATATCATACTGTTTGCCTCGAATAGTGTAATTAGCCGGAGGAGCAATACCTTCTGCAAGATTAGACATTAGATGAGATGCTTCTAACACATTAATGTCATTGCGTGCCATATCCAAAGATCATAATCCGCTACAGCTTCCAAAATGATAGTTGGATGTCCAGAACGTCCACTATATTGGCAACCCCATCCGCTAGGACATTTATCCCATTGCCAATGTATACAGTCCAAGCTACCCAACATACCTAGAAAATCACGTTGTTCACCAATATGAAGCAGCCTAGCGACATCAGCAGCATTTGGTGCCCTCAGATACTGAGAGCCAAAAATTTCTACAATTGTCCGACAAAATTTTTTAAGCATTCATTTGCTGTTGACTCGGCAATTGAAGATATTCATCAGTCTGATCCCGCAGGACACCATACACCAATTGACGCAATGCCAACGTTATCTTTTGATTTGTTGAGAGTCCAGGTCTACCAAGAGCATCATTGAGCTTTTTGAAATACCTATCATGACTTTTTACTGCATTAGTAATACGCTCGTAAAGATTGAGAGACAAGCAAAACCTTCGACGAAAAGTGTCCGTGTCGTAGGTGGGATTGTTACTGAAGTAATGCTGGTACAAAGTCTGATCCGCACCTTCTCGATCACGATGGACGACTCTATGGCCTGGGACCGAACCCCCCCCCCCCAGGTAGGTTGGCTATTTTCAGCAGAGATAGCGTGTGACATCATAACATTAGAACTGTTTATGAAATAAGCAATTGGTAGATGAAAATCATTTTCAAATGGAGGAAATTCTGAATCTGAATTTTACTCATCTGAATCATACTCAAATGGTGGAAGATAACTCATTTCAATGATTATTGGAAAAACTACGGGAATAGAAGATAGGAATAGAAGATGCTTGCATTGTATGACATGTTGGTTGCTGTTTATATAGACAAATGGAGGAATTGATTCCAAAGTATTGACTTAACGGCATGACTAATAATTCTAATTTATTGATTTCTTTTCAAATAAAAAAGAATCATATGCTTCTTCTTTTTTTTTGGCTTCATGGTCCAAGTTTAGTACAAAGCATTTTGTATTGTCGGTCCCAAAAGTCATCACATGTATTGTCAGTACAATAAGGAATCAATGTTATTTTTGACTTGACGGTGACTATTGGTTCCAATAAAAGAAAGAATCCGGTTCATTTATTTTGAACTGACGGTGGAGAATTGTCGGTATAAGGAATCCTATGTCTTTTTATTAAATGGTCCAAGTTGATGATTAATATGTTGTCAAATACTTAATCCACTACTTTTTTAACTTCATGGTCCCCGTTGATAACAAATGCATTTAGAATTTTCAGTCAAAAAAAGAATCCTACGCATATTTTTTTTTTGGCTTGGCATGACTAATAATAGTAGTAATAGATTGAGTATTTTTCAGTCAAAAAAAGAATCCAATGTTTTCTTGTGACTTGATGGTGACTATTTAGTCCATCACATTTTATTATCGGTACAATAAGCAACAATGTTTTCTTTTAATTGACGGTAGCTATTGGTCTTATGCTTCTTTTATTAAATGGTTCAAGTTGATTAATTATGATCCATGTTGATGAATAATGAATAATGAATAATGATGGTCCAAGTTGATGAATATTGAATAATGAATAATGATGGTCCAAGTTGGCTTGATAGTTGGTTCCAATAAATGAAATAATCTGATTCATTTATTTTGAATTGACGTTAGATATTCAGTCAAACGCATTTTATTGTCGGTGGCATAAGGAATCCAATGTTTTCAGTCCAAGAAAAGGAATCCGATGCATTTGTTTTATTATTGGTCAATGTACACACTTTTTTCTATAAAAGTATCCGAGTAGTTCATTCTAATTCGCATCCACTTCTCCTTCTAATCTATACCTTCAAACACTCTCAACAACAAAAATGACTTCTAAAAAGGGGGTTAACTATACTAAGGCAGAAGATGAACTTCTTGTGAAATATTACATCCATATTTCAGAAAATCCAATTGACTCAAATAAGCAGAAAACACAAACATTCTGGGAGAGAGTAAGTTCCGCATATAACGTGAACAGGAAGATTGACATGGAAGAAAGAAGGTTTAGATCATGCAAATCTCGCATTTGTATAATTGAAGGTATTTGTAAGAAGGTTCATAGATGTTTACAACAGATCGAGAATCGCAACCCCAGTGGGACACAACTCGGAGATCGGGTGAGTTTATAATTTTTATTTTTTTCTAGTTTTCAATTTCATTTTAATCGTAATGTGCTATTATTGAAAGAATCTTATGTATGTTAGTCTTATTTCGTTTTTCTTTTGGAGATGAAATAAGTCGAAGAGCTATTTATTCAGACAACAAAATTTAAAACCGGGTTCAAGTTTGGCCATGTGTTTGATTGCTACAAAATTTTGGCAAATTTAATGTCCCCAACCAAAATATGGTGTTCGGGAGTGTACTACAATCAACGACTTGTCGGAATCCGAAAATCTTAATCCCGAACAACCAACACCCGAGTCTCCAATGTTGTCATCTCTTAATCCCGAACAAAGCTACGATAATGGTAGCGGAAGTGGACCATCGTCTCGACTCCCGATGGGAGTGAAGAAAGTCAAACTGAAGAAGAAAACAGAAGACCATTTGAGTAAGATATTTAGTACTTTCAATGCAAA